CTATAATTGACTCTTTTCTCGGTTAAATTTAAACCGGATAGGAAATAAGTTATCTCCAAAGCTCTCTGAAATGGTGTAGAACAACTCCAGCTCCTTACTGTGTGTTTGCTGGCCAAAGATGGCTGCTCTGGGAACGAGAAATGTCAACGTAGACGTAGAAACACTAATGTGTGTTGATGTTTAAATATTTTTCCTTAAAATTTATTTAAAAAGTTACATATGTCGTGGGTAAAAGTTAAACATTCTTTTTTAAAAAAAAGAATTTATTTATTTATTTTTAGAGAGGAAGAGAGGGAGAGAAACATCTATCGGCTGCTCCTCACACGCCCCGACCCGGGGACTCAGCCCCACAACCCAGTGACTTTGCAGGATGACGCCAGCCCGCTGAGCCACGCCAGTCAGGGCAACAATTAAGTGCTCTTAAAGGCTGTATGGTAAAAAGTAATTTTTCCTCTCAGGAAGTTACCATAACTGTGTTTCTTTTTATTCTTCCAAATATATTCTTTCATCTGATGTCATTTTTGGTCAATATATGTAAATTAAGATCCTCCCAAACTGGGACGTGATTTTAATCACTCTGCCTCAGCGTAAGAAGGTTCGAGAGATGGGGCACTGTTGCTTAGCTGACCCCTCAGGTATCAACATTAAAAACCAGAAGTCATTAGACCTGACCAAGGCTGGCTCCATAATTTGGGGGGCCCAGTGCAAAGTAAAAATACAAGGCCTGGATTAACCAGAGCCTTAAGCCAGATGGGGGCCTTCCATGTAGAGTCTTGCGCAAACGCACAGTTCGCACGCCCGGGAAGCCAGCCTGCCGGCCCTGCGCTCGGCTTGCATGTCCACCCTGGCTGGACGGAATCCGACGCTGATATAAAAGGCCATGGCTCCCTGTCACTTGGGACTTAGGTTTGTTGCCTGGGCCCATCTCCAGGGAGGAATGGTGGGTTTATTAGAAAGTTGGGAACATCAGCGTGATCCCCAAACTCAGAACCGCCTGGGTTACACCTAATTGGCTTTTTCCTGGTGGAGCGTTTGGTGGGAGGAGGAAGAGTCAGATTGGTATAGTGAGGAGTATAAAAGTTGATGATTTGGTTAAATGGGGAAAGGGTTTGGTGAGGAGGGGATTGCAGCTAAATCGCCAGTGGCAGTCAGGTCTGTAACAGAGACCTTAGGATGTATCCTCAAAGGGGAGGAGGAGGAAGCTGTGACCAGGACCAGCGGCTCTGCATGTGGGAATTCTACCCAGCAGGCTCCGTGCTGAGTGTTTCCAGCCCCTGGGCGCTGGGAACAAAACTCGAAGAGTGCCCTATTGTAACACCTTTAACCTGGCCACAGCCCCAAGCAGTAAGCAATCACACTAATCCCTTAAGCAGATGTAGAGGCCTCCCCGAGGCTCACACGGCTCCTAGGTTTCAGAGCTGGGATCCCAGCCTCATGGGCGCACTACCCTGGAGCGGCACTGATTTTGTGAATGATCCTTTTCAGTTTGTTGAACATGTGGTTGGTAATATCGGTTGTCATTTATCTGGTGCCCGGCATAGGCCAGACATTGGCCTAGGTCCCCCCTGTCATGCTAAGCCGAATACCGTGTGACGGGTGGGAAACGGCTGAGGTCGGCATGCCTCGGCTCCGGCACCAGGAGGGGTCGGCCAGGAACGAGTCAGGATTCGGGCCTGGGAGCAGGCCTCTCCGCCTCCGTGTTCACCTGTACGTCTCCAACGTTTCTTCTGGTCCAGAGCGTCTTGAATATTGTCCTGACGCTCTGGGTGGTTACCCTCATTTTGTTCTTTCTCACAGTGCATCTAAGACAAATGAAGAACTTCATCTGTGCCCCTGCCGACTTCTTCCCCTTTTATACTGTTGTTTATATTCAGGACAAACAAACTTATGAACGCCATTCCCTGAATGCAAACTTCTCAGGGTCTTCCCCTCACCGCCCCCCCACCCCGCCAGCATTTTCCTATGGTCCTGTTGGCTGGGAAAGAATTCAGTGAATAATGGCATGATTAATTAGATGTCTCTACCCGGAATGTCAAGTTATGGGAGGTGGAACCTCCCAGCAAACAACAGGAGTGGAACAGAGAGCAGTCCAGGACAGAGATAAAGCCTTGGCAGGGGCTGAGGATACCATCCTAATGGGTGAGATCATTTTAAAGTCTCCCTTTCAACCGCTCCCTGTGCTGTCCGAGTGTTCTTTTTTAAAAACTTTTATTTATTGATTTTGAGAGAGAGAGAAACATCAATTGGTTGTCCCACTTATCTGTATTCCTTGGTTGATTCTTGTCTGTGCCCTGACCAAGGATCAAACCCACAGCCTTGTTGTATTGGGATGATGCTCTACCCACCTGGGCTCCCCGGCCAGGGCTGTCCAAGTTTTCTTAAAAAGAAGATTCAGATGCTCTGTTGACTTATTTTCTTGGCAGTCTGTGTTGTCAAGACAACAAGATCTGTTTGCCTAGAAATAGGTTTTTCCGGTGTTCTTGGAGGAGAAAACTCAAAAAGCAAAGCCAATTCTTCTTTTTTCATACAGCGAAGAAGAAAATGGTTTGAGTGGGATGATTTCTATGACAAGAAGGGCTGAATGTCAATGAACGACCATTGTGATGTTCTCTGCTTTGTTCTAATTCACTCTCATGAGAGAGGCATGTGGCTGATGGGGTTTTTAGCTCTGTGCCACGTGTAGTAATAGCTATCACCCTGGAGTGCCTATGTGCCAGGCACTGAGCTACTATTATCTTTACACACACAACAGTATTCAAACCGCAAGACCAGCCCTGTGAGCTGAGTTTATTATCCCCACTTGACAGCCGATGAAACCGAAATCCCTTGTCCCAGGCCACAGAGCTGATAACTCTCAGAGCTGGGATTTGAACTAGGTCTGCCTGACTCTGCAGTCACTGCTTTCAACCACAGAGCTGAAGGTACACAAACGACTCAGCTGCGGCACCTGTCTACACTCCAGGAATTTAAAGTTCCATTGACCAGTCAGAACGCGTGTGTGAAAAGAACGAAGACAGGGTGGCAGAGTGTTAAAGAAATGGCACGCACGGTCCTTGCTATAGCAGGTCAGAGAGGAGAGAAGACAAGGGGGCCCTGGGTCACGGCATTTCCGGAAATTCTCCCCGGAGGAAGTGGAGTCGGGGCTAGCGTTTAGATTTTAATGGACTCTTTATCACCTGTCTCACATAATTGGCTTCTAACATTACACAGCTGTGCGTATGCCTAAGTTTCTGCCTGTTCGCTAGAGCTCTAAAAAAACACAGGCAATTCAATAACATGATGTAAACATAGAGAATTGTGTATTTTAACATGCAGCAGGGAAGGACATCAACCACGATCGATTTTGGCTTCGTAAGTAAAGCAGGGCTTGCCAAACTATAGCCCACGCGCCGACTCGGGCATGCCACCTGTTTTCATATGGCCTTTTAGCCCAGAATGGCTTATACATCTTAAATGGTGGAAGAAAAATCAAAACAGTAACATTCTGGGATCTGAAAATTATGTGCAATTCAACTTTCAGTGTTGTGAATAAAGTTTTATTGGCATACAGCCACACCCAGTCATTTACTTTGTGGCTGCAGAGTTGTTGCCAACAAACACCATATGGTCTGCGAAGCCTAAAATATTTACTATCTGGCCCTTTACAGAAAAAGTTTGCTGACCCCTGTCGCAAAATCAGACGAATTCAGAATGTTCCCTGTCAACCCCAATACATATTTTTGGGGAAGAAAATAGAAAAATACAGCACTATGCATCCACCATTCAGGACTGAGTTAACATTTTACCATTTGCTTCAAATCCACTTATAAGAAAAAGGCATAAAACTACGCGACATTCATCAACTGACTTGAACGCGCGCCGTCGATCCATAGCTCTGAGGATCACTTCAGAACGGTGGTTCGTTCTCCGGTCTTTACCATTCCCAGCAGAGGCGCGCGCGCGCGGAGCAGCGCGGGGCGGTCTGGCCGTCCGGCTGCCGCGCTCAGGATCGTCGGAGAGCGCCCCTGCAGCCTGGAAAGACTGGAGGAGCGAAGCAGAAGCGGGCTGGGGATCCACTCAGTTGACAAGAGGACTTGGAATCTGTCGTTAATTTGGCTCTTGACGCCCTTCTCAACTCTTGGTTCCCCTTTTGGCTGCCTGGCAGAGCCCGTGAGGCACCCGGTAACTCTCGGTTCAAGGCTGGCAGGTCTGGCAGCCTTCGAGGTCTTCTTTCCCCTCCCTCGCAGCGCTGACACCCCGCTGGAACACTAAACACGCGCTTAACGCTCCGCCAAAGCAGGGCGCTGAAAGAGGTAGCCTGTTCGGTAAGAGTATAATGTTTTCTACACAAAGCATCTAAGTAGTTTTCGGGAAAAGCCAGACTTCACTGGGTTTCGTTTAGTTTGGTACGTCCAGGTGGAATGGGTATGGGGAAGGTCCAGGGTCCCCAGCATTTAGGGCAGGCCTTGAGCAGTGATCAGGTGGGTGCAGAAGGGGGCTCCCCGAATAGGTGGCCCGCAGCCTTGGGGAACTTTCCGGGACTCGGCCGCCGCCCTGCCCTTCCCGCGTTTGGCTAAACAAAGCTAAGCCAACCAGCCGAAGGGTGCCGCGGCCGCCGCGGGGAGAACCCGGGCAGGTGCGCGCGGCGGGCGGGGCAAAGTTGCAGCGCAGCCCCCGGCGCCCGTGCCCCAGGAGGGTCTCTCCGCTCCCCGCAGGTCCGCGGCCTCCTTCCACCCCCTCGCGGCCCGGGCGCGCTCCCCTCCGCACCCCGCGCCGCCTCCTCCCCTTTCTTCTTTCTCTCCGCCTCGCCGTTACTTTCGTCTCCGCGGGCTCCCGCCTCCCAGCCCTCCCCGGCGCCCGGCCAGGCGGCGGGGACGCGCCCAGCGACGCGCGGAGGACGCGGGCGGGGCCGGCTCTGCGCCCGGGTTTCAGCGGCCGCGGCCAATCCCCGCGCAGCCCGCGGCGGCGTCGCGCCGGAGCCGGGACCCGGGCGGCACCTCCCGCCCCCGCCCCCCGCGCGCCCGCCGGGGGCCGAGCCGAGCGGATCGGATCGGAGCCGAGCCGAGCCGGGGGCGCAGAGCGCGGGAGGCCGCGGCGCGGAGCCCAGGTGAGCTGGCGGGGGCCGGGTCGCGGGCGGGAGACGTAGCCGCCGCACCCCCAGCGCCCTCCGCCTCTCGGGGCGGGGGAACCACTGCCGGGTTTGCAGACAAAGCCCTGAGGCCGGTCGCGGGCTCCCTCCATCGAGGGGACCCCACGTGCGCCGCCCCACGCCCCACCACGTGGGGGCGAGGTCCCTGGCGCCCCTTCCTCCGCATCCTCTGAGCGCCGGGGCCTGGGGGTGGCCTCTCGGCGGGACCGTGCCCGGCCCGGGGTAGCAGGGGCGGTCCCGGAGTTTGGAACCGAGGTCACGGGGGGCGGGGGTGCCGGGGCAGCCAGGGATCTCGGAGGCGGCCTAGGCCCACCCCCTCGCGTGTGACAGGTGGGGGAGCTGGAGCGCGCAGGGAAGGAGAGGGCCCACGGACTTGGAGCACCCCACCCCCGCACCCCGCTCGTCTTGGGGGCAAACGCAGGCCCTGGGAGGTTGGACAGCAGGCGGTAGGACCCTAGGCCAGCCGCTGCGGGGCCGGGGACCATGGCCTCTTCTCAGTCGGCCATTTGCCCCCGCCGCCCCCCGCCCCGGAGTCTCTCGGCCAGAACCTCACAGGCTTGGTCCTCTTGACCTAAATTCACCCCGGGGCCGCAGCGGGCGCGCTGTGCAGGCAGAGAGGTGCCTCTGGGACGCGGGGATGCTGGGCCCAGCCCCACGCCGCATTGGGTGTTGGTGCCTGGGGTGCCGCCCGCTCCAGCCTTGAGCTTTTTCTGGCTCCCCGCCCCCTGCACTGCCCAGTTTGGGAAGTAGGGTGTTTTCACAGCTCTGCCAGCCATCCTGGTGGCTCTCACTGGGTGTTGAAGAAGGTGCATCTCAGCCCCTCCGCTCCCCGCCCCCCGCGAAGGTTTGGGTGCGGGATGGAGTTGGGAGGGGCCGGAAACTCAGTGCTGTCAGCGAGAGAGGGGCGCGCTGGCCTCGGAGTGGGACACGCAGGGTCCACCTGCTTGGAGGCAACTTTTGCCTTCCTCGGTCCCGTGGTCCCTTCGGTCCTAGGGACGGAAACTTGTTGTGCCCCGGAGCTGTGTAGCCATTTACTGCACTCCTCTCCTGGCTCTTTGTCCCCAGAGGCATCCTTGTTCCTGGGGCGGGGGGGGGGGGGGGGGTAGGGTGGGGGGGGCACGGGAGGCAGGGGCCACAGGAAGAGGAGGGCTTTGGGGGAGTTAGACCCCTCCTCCCACAAAAACAGGCAGTGTAAGAATAAACAGTGCATATGCTATGCAAATGCAGCTTCTTGGTGCGCCTGGACCCTCCATTTAGATGGCTGCTCAGAAACCCTTCCTAGGTAGAAAGCAGCCATTTGTAGTGAGAACATACAATGCACTTTAAAACAAAAAGCAGCCACCATTTGATGAGCTCCTAAGTACTGTGCTGTGTGTAGCATGCCTTGTCTTATTTAATGCCTAAAAATATCCCACGAGGCTGTGGTTTTATCCCAATTCTAAAGATGCGGAGATTGAGGCTTGAAATAATCCTGCAGTGTTGCTAGCAATTGACACTAGTTATGGACGGGCTCAGAGAGGTTAAATAACTTGCCCAGGGTCACACAGCCAACCCAGGTGTGTCAGATCCTAGAGCCTTTGCATTTTGCCACCGGTCGCAGAGCGGGGACCCTTGCAAGGCTACCTCCAGCCTCTTGGGGAGCTCAGATTTGTTTACTCAACCTGGAGGACACAGACCCAAGCAGACAGGGTGTGATCCTGGCCGGCTCAGGCTTGTCTTTGCTCCCAGGTTGTTCCCCTCCCCCCATGCTTAATTTATTTATGTTTTTATTGTTCAAGTACAGTTGTCTCACTCCCAGGTTGTTAACAGTCTCGCAGCCAAATCTACTTACTCCTGACTGTGCGGCAGCTCTCCTCAGGGGCGGTCCCGCCTCCTGGGGAGTGTGGGGGAAAGTGTGGGGGCGACTTCTGGTTGTCAAAATGATGCTGAGCTCGCCTGGCTTCGGGTGGGCAGGAGCCAGGGATGCCAGATGTCCCGCAAGCAGGCCAGGTCTTTGGCAGACGCGGTGGAGACTTGCCCAAAGGCCGGGGGTGGCCCTGTTGGGAAGCAGCAGGAGGAGCAAGGGCTGTGGGAATGAAGGGACCAGAGGGCCGGGAGGCGGCCTGGTATCCATCCGGGAGGTTCCCTGACGGACGTGTTCTTTGTGTTGAACCTTGAAGAATGAGCTAAAAAGTGGAGTTTGGGTGGGAGGAGGAGGAGGGGAGGGAGATTGGACGGGATGAGCTGGCAGGGGAAGCTCCCTGCGGTCCTATGGAGAGCTTCGGCCAGACCCAAGACGGGCTGGCGGGTGGGGAGGCCCCTCTCCCCTGAGGAAGAGCCAGGCCAGGTGGGGCGGGCCAAGCCTCTTTTCAAGGCATTTGGGCTCAGGTTTTACCTATGTATTTATTTTTAGAGAGAGGGGAAGGGAGGTAGAAAGAGAAGGGAGAGAAACATCCCTGTGAGAGAGAAACATCAGTTGGTTGCCTCTCATACATATCTTGACTGGGGACTGAACCCACAATTTAGGCGTGTGCCCTGACCGGGAGTCGAACTGGGGACCTTTTGCTCCATGGGGCGAGGCCTCGCCTCCGGAGCCACCAGGTTCAGGGCTGGGCTCAGATTTTAATGCAGACCACGGAGTCGCCCTTATTCCGTCGTAAACCCAATTAATGGAGCGGCTCCCACAGGGAGGAGCACAGGGACTTGTCCGGGTCACTGGGGACCGTCTCCCGGGCACACCTCCTTGTGACTGTGGGCAGCATACGGTTCTCATTTCCTTCCCCGATCGTGGAGGTTTGGGGCAAATGCTATTCGAGATTTTCCTTTGGGTCAGAGGGCCTTGTATTGCTATTTTTCGCAGATGTTTTGCTTTGCTAATAGCTCCTCTCTCTGGACCGGGCCAGGGAGCCTGGCTCCACTTTGCCCAGGCATCTGTGAAAACTCCCTGTGGAGCGGACTTGCCTTCTTTCAGGCTGTGTGGTTACCCCGCTGCCCTGTTGGTGATATGGGTCCTTTTGTGTCTTGCTTCTTGTGTATTTTGTTCATCCATTCATCTGCGGATGGACACTTTGGTTGTTTCTGCCATAAGGGCTTCTTAAGGCCACCTTATTCCTTTGCTTCTGCAACCCCTAAATTAATAAACTGCTGGACATAAGACACTGTTTTAAACATTTGTTTTAAACATTTTTAAAAATTTATTGATGAGAGAGAGAGAGAGAGAGAGAGAAATATTGATTTGCTTTCCCACATAGTGATGCATTCATGGGTTGATTCTTGTGTGAGCCCTGACCGGAGATCTGACCACATCCTGGATGCATCAGAATGATGGTCTAGCCAGCCGAGCTCCCTGGCCAGGGCAGGACATTATTTTGTCCATTTGTAGGGAGAGGGTGATGGAAAAAAAAGATGCTCTGAAATTAGTTGGGGACCAGGTTCCTGGAGCGAGGTTTTGGGCACTACCTTAACTTCGCCCCATCTGCTTCTCCCCAGGAGTCCTGGCCCCCTTCTAAACCCATCCCCCCACCCCCAGGGAAATGCACAGGGATTCCACAAGTGCCATTTTCAGGGAGTTTTGATTTCATTTTGATTTCATTCTTTTCAGTCACTGTGATTTGTTAACTGTAGGTCCCCATGTGATTTCACTGGTGTACATTTTGTGACACGTTTTCCAGGTGAGTCAATACACAAAGTAAAAATCGCTTCATGAGACAGATCATGCCCTAGCCCTGCGGCCAGGCGTAGCGTCGCCCCAGCCCCAGCCTCTCCTGACGTGCACTGGAGCAGCTGAGCGCCCTGAAAGCCGAGCTGGCGGGCAGCCCAGGAAAGACCGGCCCCTCAGCCCCGCCCATGTGACCGCCGGGGTCTTTTCGGAGCCTGGACCGTGAGCCAGGCTGTGTGTGGTCATGTTCATACAGAAGATTGACTCTACAGCTACACACACGAGGGGCCATGGTGGCTCCATTTTACAGATGAGAAAATCAAGGCCCAGGCCCCCTTGCATCTGTGTGGGTTCCTGACAGGCTCTCGAGCTTCCCCCAGCCGCCTCCCGCGGGCGAGGAGGCCCCTTTTCTCAGAATGGAGGCTACCACCTCCAGGAGGTTGTGTGTGGAAATAATTTCTGAATGGTTTTGCTCTCTGAAAAATAACCGTTTGAATGAGTATCTTTTCCTTCTTTCCTGATTGGATCCCTTCCTCAACAAAAGGGAGGGGGGACAGGGTGGGGCAGGGGAAGGAGGCAAGTGAGGGAGACTTGGCAGGGAAGACCCGCCCCCTGCTTGGCATTCCCTGCTGGGTGATGCTAGTGACCAAAATGGGGAAGGAATGATTTTAGTCACTGTTTTCGGTTTCAACCGTGTTTGTAGTGTTGCTACTGGATTTTTTTTTTTTTTTTCCAATTATGAAACATTTGAAGCACAGAGAAAAGCCAGAGTTTTCGCTTGTTGACTGGCCCGTGTTTCTGGGAGGCTGGGAGGAGGCCCAGGAGGTGATGGGCAGAGGGCAGAGCAGGCACCGGCTCTGGAGCCCCGGGAGCTCTCCCTGGACCCACACTCTTGGGGGCTGGTGACAGGCTCTGCCCTGGGACCTGAGGGGTACAGGGGCTTGGTCCCTGTCCCCAGAGAGCTCCCAGGGGAGTGGCCTGTGAACTGTTGGGGAGTGCTCTGGAAAACATAAACAATTCCAGCATTTTTCCTTTTTGAAAAACAGAGAAAGAAAATTCCAAGAGTCTGTGGCGCCCCCAGCGCCACCCCATCCCGAAACCTTTTTTATGTTGTCTCTTTTTCTCCGGTCGGTTTCTGTAACTAGTTCAGAGATGGCAGTGGGAGAGCGAAATGCCAGTCGCCACTTGGAGGGGAGAGGGGGTCGCCCCCTGAGGGATCTGGAGGGTGGGGTGCTGGGAGGCCAGGTCTCTGTGGGCGGGACACAGGGTAGGAGGTGAGTGGGAGGGGCCCTGCAGGAGAAGCCTCTGCAGGAGAAGTTGA